AATTTTCGCTGATGATTTGAAAATATATAGAAAAATTGATGATACCTCAGATAACTTAATCTTGCAGAATGATCTGGCCAATATTGAACTGTGGTGTAAGAAAAATAGGTTAGAACTTAACGTTGCTAAGTGTAAGGTGGTTACATTTACCAGAAAGATTAATTTTGCGAAATATATATATAAAATTAATAATCAGAGTTTGCAATCTGCGGAAACAATCAAAGATTTAGGAGTTTTATTTGATTCCCGTTTGAGTTTTGTTGATCACATTTATCAAATACAATCACATGCCAGGAAAATGACCGGGTTTATAGTCCGCAATTGTCATTCGTTTACTAATATCAAAGCTTTGCAAATTTTGTATTATGCCTATGTTAGATCGAAGCTTGAGTATTGCTCATTGATTTGGAATCCCTATTACCAATTACATTCTGATGCCCTTGAAAATGTTCAAAGGCGTTTTTTGAAATTCTTGTATTTTAAGTCTACTGGTATATATCCGGCTCAGGGCTTCGATCACGATACATTATTAGATATGTTTAACTTCCAAGCTTTAGAAACCCGCAGGCGTTGTCAGTCGGTAAAATTCCTTTATAATCTTATTCATAATAAAATCGATTGCCCAGATTTGCTAGAGCAACTAAGTTTTCTAGTACCACGCGCTGAGATGAGGAATCATGCAACTTTTTATTTGCCAAGGGCTTGCACAAACTTATTGTTAAAGTCCCCAGTTTATTTTATGTGCAAGACATTTAATTCTATCTGTAACACTTGCGATATAAACGATTGCTCGGTCAAAATGTTATGTATGAGTATAGTAAACCATGATCGTAATTGATGCCTCTCTTGCTTTAAGTTACATGTCTTAGGTTAAGTATATTCATTTAACTCCTACACTTTACCGAACTATTGTATTTTTCTTCTTTTTTTTTGTTTTTTGTTCTTTTGATGTTATTGAGTTTTTTATATTTATATTATGTACTATTTCAATGTAATTTAGCTCTATAAATGGAATTACTTCTGTTGGGCTAATAAATTATTATTATTATTATTATTATTATTATTTCGGGACGCCCACTTACTTATTGCATTTCAATTGATTTTATTGATTCGATTTAATGGCATCTACTTATCATGCGCAAACAAACATAAAGCAGTCTGTGTTTTCGACCCAGCTGAGTAACTTCCAGCACTTGAATAGTGGTTGAAACATGAGTGATCCCAGTACCACAGAATTTGCCCACGTATCTAGTGGTTTACATTACGGTAAAATAATCCTTGTTCTGTAAGAAATGTACTATATTATCCCTCTTTATTTAGATTACTACTGGAGGGATTACACAGGTGATATACCAAGAGATGCCGTCCCGGGTGGGCGCGATGTAAACCATAGACCAACGTACATTGGCCATGTCTATGTTCATAAATACGGAATATGTACTGTTACGATATATCCCGGCATTACAACAGTTGTTCCTAGTGTAACGGGATACTACATTTTTGATCATATAAAAGTAAGTAAAAATAATTATAAACCATATGTATTATTTTATTTTTAAATTCTTAGTCAGGTACTGAATGGTTAGACTAGATGAAAATTTTAAGTATTATTTTTACAAATTTAGTTAAGATTAACACAATATAAAGGGTGACAACTTTTTAATTATCCAATATCTTTCTTATTTTAAAATATACAGAAATGGTAAAATGAGCAAAAATGTGCAGAATTTTTTGCAGATTCGTTTTTAAATTTTAAANGACAAACTGATACAATAAAATTTTTAGGTGTATACATAAATCAATTTTTGGATTGGAGTGATCATATTAATAACTTATGTTCAAAATTATCTTCTATCTGTTAGGTACTATATAGGTTAAAATGTCTAACAACTAAAAAAATTTTATTGTCATATTATTACGCTCATATTTATTATAGAATAAGATACAGTATATTATTTTGGGGATGTTCATCTCAAATGTTGAAAGTTTCTTAGATTACAAAAGAGAATAGTAAGGAGTATAGCCTCAGTAAATAAATATCATTCATGTAGAAATTTATTTAAAAATCTTAAATTACTTACCGTACCATGTATTTATATATACAGGGTATCCCAACGAAAATTTGACCCCCCCTATAATTGGAAAACCGAATAATATTTCAAAATTCGCCGAGACCCGTCGATTTTTGTTCTTGGGGNCTGTTACGATATATCCCGGCGAAACAACAGTTGTTCCTAGTGTAACGGGATACTACATTTTTGATTATATAAAAGTAAGTAAAAATAATTATAAACCGTATGTATTATTTTATTTTTGAATTCTTAAGTCAGGTACTGAATGGTTAGACTAGATGAAGATTTTAAGTATTATTTTTACAAATTTAGTTAAGATTAACACAATATAAAGGGTGACAACTTTTTAATTATCCAATATCTTTCTTATTTTAAAATATACAGACATGGTAAAATGAGCAAAAATGTGCAGAATTTTTTGCAGATCATGGATTCGTTTTTAAATTTTAAAAATTCCGATTAGTTTGGAGGTAACCGATTTTATGCTATTTCTTTATTTAATCGTATTTCACTTGTTTTTGTACATTTTATGGCAAAAACGTGTTGTCTGATATTAAATGACCTGAGGCATTCATTTTTGCTATAAATATTATCGTATCACTAAAAATGTGTGCTGAGCGGTAGTTAACTAATTCAAATAAATCCATTTTTTTTTTCTAAAAATAATCTTGCCAATTGAAGTCAAACATAGAGATATGCAAAAGATACACAGACAGGATTCCTAACTGTTGAAATTTCAGGAAGTAATTACTTTGTCAAGGGCGATGTTGGAATAATAATATTTTGACATATCATTTTTTATTTTTACTCGGTACTTTACTATTAATTAGTTGGAGCACGAAGATCATAGAGTAGTTGTTTCCTGCAATATCAACAGTTCTGACTTTTATCTGTGACGTACACAGGGCGTTCAAATTAAAACTTCCCACCTAGAAAATATCGAAATGAAAAAAAACCCTGAGGAACATCGACTTTCTTCTCAAGGGGAACACATAATGGCGTAAGTTTTGGTGTATTGGAAGCTACTCGTTAGGCAGTAAAATACCCTAAAACTCTAAATGGTACCTTATGAAACCTCATTTTAAAGCTTTTTCAATTTTGCGACGACATATGACTCTTTAAATTTTGGGTTTGGATATGACAATAATCAACACTTAAAGAATAAGACCAAACATCAATGAATGAAATTATGTTATTTTACTAAGTGTTCAAATTGGTTTCCCTCCGCTTCCATACAATAATAAAATCTTTGTTCCACTTCCGAACGAACATTTCGAAGTATTTCGAGCGTTATCTGACGACATTCTTTAACAATTTCTCGATCAAAAAATTTGTTTTGATTTTTCGTTTATCTGTCAATATAAAAACTTCATACTATATCAATTCCTTTTTTACATGTTTTACTTTAATCGAGAAAAAGTTACAATATCTCGTAAACGAGACTCCAAATAAAAATCTTACAGGAGTGAAAAAAATTGAATAAAACGCCATTTTATCTAAAAAAACATAATCGGAAAGCATAGGCGTACTTAAAAAAATAATAAAGGGTCCATGGGTACTGCAAGCTTCCTCCCATCCTCTCCGTTCGCGCTTTTTTATTTTAAACCAAAGTTACACATAAAGTGTGCCAACTTAAGATCAAATATGTGCTAAATTTCAAATAAATGTCTACAATCACCAGAGTTATCAATAAAAATCATTTTTTAAATTTTAATTTTGACACCCTGTATTTTGAAAATGGAGCTCCGAAATGAAAAGCGGCATAAGAATGGTCCCATTATTTTAGTCCAAAGAATATGTGGTTAACGGCTTGTTCTATTAATTTGTAATAACCTACATATATCTAAATAAGATTGTTCGATTTTTATTTCCGTTGACTTTAAAGTCTTGAAAAAATACTATTTTCTTATTTTGTTGAGGTTTATGTTATGTTAATACGAAAAATTAAGAAACACCCCCTATAATGTTATCACAAAATTTTATGATCTATCAAAAACTTCGCACCTTTAGTTATGGTAAGAATGGTTGACAAGTTTTTTTTTCAGATATTATGTAGTCCGTTCAAAGAAAAATTCAGATGGGTTGCTACAGATGCAGAAAAACTTCACGTACAATTGATTGGTAAACACCTTGTCCGAGGTGGAGTCGATTACAATGGAAAGACGACTAATATTGGCAGAATTCTACATAAAGGTGAGATAATTGTAGCCAAAGTGTGTGGGAGCGTAATAGGGAATGCGAAATTATACTATTGTGATAACAACAGTGAAAAAAGTGTTAACTCCTATGAAGTTTTAATATACGACTTGAATTAATTTTTTTTGTATTGTTAATATCTTGTTAATGTAATTTTTATAATCTATAATAAACGTATTTTCACATTACTTATGATTTAGTGAATTCAAAAAGTATTGTCGATCAAATAATAATAAAAATATGTATATACTTACTTAGTGAGTCTGAAAACGATATTAAAATCACTAATGAGCTACTATATACAACGAAAATTATACAGGGTTATTCAGAACTTATCCAAAAAAAAAATTGATATACAAGGGACTCTTACAAATACAAAGAAAAAATCAAAGAAGGCAGTTCGAAAATGATGTAAAAATACCCTTCTGCACGGCACTGGAAACTGGTCAACTGTAAAATCTGACAAAAATGGACAAAAACTTCGAAGAATTTCGCAAGGAAAGAAATAAACATAACCTATTTTATATCAGCAAATTCATCTGCTTTTGTCGCTATTGTTATTATTATTTAATAAAATTAATTTGTTGTTTTAAATAATAAAATAATTTGACATAACTGATGTTACAACAACTGTTCAAAATTTTGTCCACTGACGTGTAAACACAGTTTCTACGAATTAACACAAATGTTATCTTGCCTCACCATAATGTCGTTTTACTTCATCATATTAAATTAAAACGCTATCCATCTACTCCGAGTTGCTATACACGCAGACCATTTTTTAACTAACTACTAAAAAACTATTGTAAACAGTCGGATTTCAGTATTCGGAGTCGCTGAGGCCACGTGGCTCTCCACGCGTATTGCGAATGGCGCTAGAGACTACAACTGTCCAGTTATGTAATGGTTGAAAGTACTATAATTTTTTTTCTCGGAAACTGTAACGATTTTACAAAAATTTTTTTTGCTATATTGACTATATTTCACTTGCTGCATCTATTCCCAATTTTTTTGGATAAGTTGTGAATCACCCTGTATAAAAATAAATCGTACGTTATAAATTTTGAAAGTAGAGATCAATCGTTATTTCAGGAATATACCCGGTGTTTATTGACATCTTGTGTTTACGCCGTTGTGCTGTAATACATATCAGCCATTTAAATTTGTTGATATTTGTTCTTGAGAACCATTTTTGTACATCCATTAACAGCTCAAATCTATCAAGCCAGTAAAGTGATTGAAATTCAGAAAAAAAGACTTATCAGAGTTAGCTATTCCCACATTGTTTACATATAATATCTAATCTGATGCAATCAAATTAGCGACAGCAATTCCTCTTATTTATGCCCATTAGAGTTTACTTTTGTTGTCATATACACAATTGAGATATTTAATTTATAAGATACCAATATAAAACTGTTGTGTTGTCTTTCTGGGTACCACTTGAAAAGCTAAATGTGAAACTCGGTTGGAAATTAAAATAGTTATATACAGGGTGTCCCGAAATTCATGCAACAAAATTTGGTCACAGATTCTTAAGACAAATTTAGGGGACCCGTATTTTTTATTTTTTGCCAAGTGGCCTTTTCTTTCGGAGTTACAGCCCCCTGAAGTCCGCCCATAAGAATAATCTTTTTTTATATCTCAGAACCCTGTTGTACGAGAATCACTAAATTTGGTACACAGGGGGTTTATGACATGTGGAATCTGATGGTGCTACGTTTTTTTGCGAAGACAATTTTTCGTGGGTCCCCTTGTCTTTGGAGCTAAAAAAATTGGTCGCATATTTAAATTTCTCAAAAATTATCTGTCCCCTAAGAAGCCATTAAATTTAGAAACTTTTTGTCTCCTTATACTTTTTTCGCAATGTTTTCGAGAAAAATGTCAAAATGTGATCGAATGCATATCGTGATTCGCCATTTTCCTAAAAAACATTGCGTTTTACGAAACAAATATCAAGAGACAAAAAAGTTTCTAACTAATAATTAAAAAAAAAAAATCAAATTTGCGACCAAATTTTTCTGGTTCCAAAGACAAGGGGGCCCACGAAAAACTATTTTAAGGGGGTTTCTCGCCAAAAAGCGTAGCACTGTGAGATTCCACATGTCATAAAACCTCATAATTTTTGTGAAATAGTTTTTTCAAGGATCTCAAAGTTTTTAATATACGCTTTTAGTATTTATTTCTGGGATACCCTGTATATTTTCTTCACGGTGTAATTGAAATAAGTAGTAATATATGCAGACATTAGACAACGCTTTTTAACTAAATTTTTAGGGAAAAGAATAGGACAAAAATATCGAATTCCGATTTTTATAGATCAAAGATTTCGTGGTATTGTGTGAAGATACAATGAAAAAATACTTGTTTACGGATTAAACAAACTTTCCAAAAAAAGTAAGAAAAAAGTACATGAAAATAAAGCAGCTCGTGATGCAGTTGCTTTTTTCAAAATGTTGAAATTGGGCCACCTCTACATTGCATGGGTAGCATTGAATTAAAATCTAATTTAATATACCAGGTGGGGCATTCATCTTGAGACAAAATAATATCTTGGTTGGACTCGATTGTTTGGAAAAAGTTTCAGACAAAAACTGTAGGGTACCGAGGGGGCCATTGAATGGTCCATACTACGACTTCCGGTCTGGACCGGAAGTGGTGCTTTTAGACAGGAAGTTGATGTTTTTAAATGGAAACACCCATTTTTAGAAAGGATTTCGATTGAAAAACGAAAAAAAAACTTTTTGTTCTTATTATTTTTTCGATTTAACACTTTGTGTTATATTTTGTTATAATATGTTTTCATGTAAAATGGATGTCTAGAACATTTCCAAAAAAGTAGTTGGTAGTCATTTCTTTGCCAGAAATATATTTAAGGATTGTCATAAATTCTCAGTCAGTCGAATTTGAGACAGATAAGGAGAAACACTGCTTTCAAATAAAGGATATCCGTTAATTTAATTGTATTGAAACATAAAAAAAACGTTGAATCGTCAAAGGAGTAAGGTTATAACCTGTTATCGAAGTAGAAAATAATAAACTTTACCTGAATGTCAAACCAATGGAGTTAAAAATAAAGGGAAAATCAATCAATCAAGAAATTTATCAAGAAGAAACCTGGAAGAAGACCACCTCCCATGGAATTTGAAGTCTCAAACAAGAGAACTTAGACAATCTACATTACATTATTACCAAGATTTGGTCGTCGTCTTAGGAATACTGGTAGTTCAAAGAAGAATGAAGGAAAACAAGAGGAGCTCAAATTAGAGACTCGTAATACTTAGTGATTTAAATAAGAATTAATATTTGAATATTAATATAGGTTTCAGCTAGAGGTTAGGGAAAACATGTTTTTAATTTGTTAATTCAAGTTGGCAAGTTTCAACACATGAATAGTACCGCTATTATTATATACAAGATGTTCTGAATGTCCGTCAGGAAACTCCAGGAGATGATTCTACGAATTAGAATAGTAGCAGTATGTAATGAAATTTTTTTCGAATTGTCCATGGCTTGCAACAGCTTGTCAAGGTTCAATTTTTTTAAATTTTCTATTTAAATAACTTATTTAATTCAAGTTCGAATTTTTTCAAGAGATAGTATTACAGCATAGCAATTTGATTAATTGCGGAAAAAATTATCAAAAGTTTGATGTTTACTAACAATTTAATAGCAATTTCCTTCTAACCGGTTACATTTATCGGCTTGAATAGAGAGTACATGATATTTTCTGATACTGTGTCTCTTTTCAATAACGTTTAAATTTCTGTGATGTCTAGCAAAAGAAAAAAGTTATCAACAAAACAAATCTTATGTTCTAGGTAAAGTGCCCTCTAGCGGCGCATAATGAAGCTTTTGTCTGACTAGTCCAACAGAGCTTCATCTACTTAGTGGTTGTACCAAATGAGAGACTAATCGAACTTTGACAATTCGAAAAAAAAAATCATTACATACTGCTATTATTTTAATTCGTAGAATCATCTCCTGAAGTTACCTGACGGACTTCTAGAACACCCTGTATATATTTTTAATAACAGACATAATTAATTAGGGAGGTTTTTACATTTAATTTAGCCTTTCAGATATCAAGTTCAAATTGGGTGCTTTGGCGAAATTAACTGTCACGTAAATTGCGATGCATTATGATTTTTAGATTGCTCCTGGAGATATTACACAGGATACATACCAAAAAAGCGCTGTGGAAGATATGTATGACGTAATCAATACATATTAGTTAAGATTTATGTTAGAAATTATGGACTGTTACAGTCAATCTATGGGGGTGTATAATCTGGATAATCATAATAGAGGTTTGTAAATGTATCCATGCAAAAAGTGGTCCTAAATTTTCTCCCGGAGCGACGTTTTTAAAATTAATAGTACGCCAGAAACTAAAGTTGCATTTATATATAAACTTTTTTCCGAAATTATTTTCAAATAATAGTAGAAAATGGTAAATGTGCACCATTATAATTTTACGATATCTTAAAAGTCGTTCGACATATCCGACTCACATTTTATATACAGACTTAGGAAATTTGGATATTAATTTACACAGCATTAATAACATTAGTTAAACCTTACAGGGGTAGTTTTAGGGGGTAACTGTCAGTGTTTCATCCATAACTTTTTATTTGTACCTCATTTTAAATACATAGATCAAATGACACTATTCTCAGGTAATAAAGTTCAATAGTATCAAGAAATTCAAGTTTACGTATCATAGATTCAGTATTAATTAATAAGTGTGGAGTATCGATGTGTTTTTGATTTTTTCCAGACGAATAAGGATCTTATCTGATGTTTCGAAAATTCAAAGTGACGTTTAGTGACTACCCTTTTTCCAATAATATTTTGAGGCGTCAAAAGTCTTATGCCCGTTTGCACCGAGGTAAATAGGCATTAGTTTACAATATGTTGTTCTAAATTCATGGCACCGTTCCCTAAGCTCTTCTTAAGTACGCAAACAAAATGTTCCTTATGTTTCGATAGCCAGAAATATGAAGTAGGTACGTGTGTGTTATTGTAGTTCGTACTTTAAATTTAAAAGAAAAATACAAAAATAAATGCTTTATCTGAAATTACATCCGGTCAGTACATTGGAAAATATGACTAAACA